ATGTATATATGTTTTTTTTTTCTTTCTTTCTTTCATATGCCCTTTTGTAAAGGCCATTCACTTGGTATATTGGAAAAGTCATGAAACATTGAATAAAAGCAAACTACACATATACTGATTCAGTTGGAATTCAAGTGTGTATAAGATTTACATTGTTTTGACCAACATTCAATATCCAACCTTTTCCAAGTTTGATTGTTAGGGAAAATATGTTATATAGTTTTTTAAGAGCCAAGTTAAATAAAGGCTTGAATTTACCAAACTGATCCATAAGAACAAACCTCCTGACTTAGGGTCTTGTGCACATGAAATCCAGAGTTATGAATACCTTTAATACATTAATAGCAAACGTATATTTAATGGTATTATGAATTTCAGTGTAAGCAGGAGTAGGACTTATCAATGCAAACAGGTTGGAAGCCCTATAAAGAATACATATGGAATTTAAAAAATCCTCTCAATAGAAACTTTAGTGTGTTCTTTTTCTCAATAGACAAGAATTGAATTTGAAAAGAAAATATATTCAATCATTTTTGTTGAGAATGTTATTATGAATACAATTATGTAATTAATAGAATGTGTATGAAATGTAAGAATATAGGCAAAAATTAGTAAATTAAACATATCGTTCCTGTTTTCACGAAGTGACGGTAGTGAGGAAAATCTGCATGCAAATTGTATGCGATTTTCATTCACTATCGTCACTTCGTGAAAATAGGGACGATATGTATGTATAGACGTGATGCTTAAATAAATTATATGCACAAACAATGCAGGTCCAGACTGTCAGGCTTGATGCACTCCTGTCTCCCACACCAGCCTCATCACATCACCTAGCAGAAGCACTGTGTTATATGCCAAACCTGACTGACCTGACACTTGGGAATGTGCTCCGTGAGGAGTTCTCCTCTACATTGAAATCAAAGACATCATCCATACAGGTGTGTGTGTGTGTCCTAATATACATGTCATGGAGGGTCATTGAATGACAGAAACAGCAGTTTTAGTTGTAAAGTGCACATATATATATGATTTGTTTTCTTTCTCCAAACACCCTTTTTTTAAAGGCCACTCACTTGGTATATTGGAACGGTCATGGAACATTGAATTAAAGCAAACTACACATGAACCAATTCAGTTGAAATTCATATGTGAGAAAGATGACATTGTTTTGATCAATGATCAATAATCAATATCTAACCTTTTCCAAGTTTATTGATTGTAAAAAAAATTAATAAAAGCAAGAATTTACCACACTGAACCATAGCAACAAACCTTCTGACTTTAGGGTAGTGTTTACATGAAATCCAGAGTTTTGAATACCTTTAATACATTACTAGCAAATGCATATTTATGGGTATTATTACTTTCAGTGTTTAGCAGTAGGAAATGTCAATGCAAGCAGGTTGGAAGCTCTGTAAATAATTTTTGTTTAAATTACTCTTACTAAATTATTCTCTCCAAAGAAACCTTAAAAAGTAAAAGGGTAATTCACAGAGGTGGAAATGTGGCACTTCTCTCACCTGAAAAGGGGCACTCACAATAGATGGAAAAAGGCACCTATGACAATAGAAAATGGGCACTTATTTATGTAGGAAGAAGGGGCATTTGTTGAAAGAAATAAGGCACCTATATGATTTTAATTGGGCATTTATCATAGGTGAAAAGGGGCATTTATGAGAAGGGGAAGTGGTTCTGATTAGAAAGGAAAAGGAGCACCTGTCAGATTTTAATAGGAGCAATTATCAGAGGTGAGGGGGGGCACTTATCAGAATTTAAAAGGGGCACTTATCAGAATAGAAAATGGATACTTGTTGCAAAGGAAAAAGGGAACTTGTCGAAAGAAAAGGGGCAGGTGTCAAAATAAAAAAGGAGCTCTTATCTGACGTGAAAGGGGCACTTATTAAAAGGAAAATTGGCACTTCTTACAAAAGAAAAGGAACACTTTTTCTATGTAAAAACAGGCATTTTTGGGTACCCCCATGCGTCAGATACCACATGTAATATGAAATTGATGATTGTGATTTGTCTACTGCGCACAACTTCTCTTTCTCTAACTTTTTTTAAACTTCTTTTTTATTCTTATTATTTTCATTTTGTTTATGGGATGTAGCTTTTGAGTGTATATTCCCAAGAAAATAGATTATATGCCAAAATGAAATAGATCCACTTAATTGAAACTTATACTTAGTTAACAAGCAATGTTGCTATTATATGTTACAGGGTTGTTTTCCTCAGATCAGGAAGGGAAACTTCAGGCTCAATGGAGTTGCTCAAGATGACTTGAACTCATTTGTTCACACCCTCGCATGTTTGCAAAGGTCAGTACAGCTTATGTGATTTAAAAAATATTAAAAAAACTCAGAAAACAGCACGTAGACTTTTCATGAAATAGTGCAATATAGAAAAAAGAGCCTCTAATGGAATACTAAGGAAAGCTACAATGCTGATACCCCTGCTGGGAGCATGTTATATTGCGATACTGTGTACCTCTAAAAAAAATGAAGATTTCTTTTCTGATAGAACTAAACATTTAGTAACAGATTTATTGAACAAACTCCCTACTGTAAAGAGGAATCAATAAACTTAAAATGTATTGAATTTTGTGTTTTTATGTCTTTATATTTATATTATTTGTTTGTATTTTTGTTGGGGGGGGGGGGACTGTAGTCTCTTTTATTTCTTTTTTTTTCTTCTTTATTCATTGTTCAAAATGTTTCTTGAGACTATTACTTTCAATAAGACAAATTGTAGTTAATTTCTTATTTCTCATCTTGCAAACAGATATTAAGAAAAAATCCTTTATAATCAGCCGACATGGGCAATTAACTCAAACGTTAATTAGTTTCCCATCATTCCTTACAGTCCTTATTTCAGGTACGATTCTACCTACCATGCCACTATGTCAAGTTCTACTCCATCTCCTAACCCTCCTGTCTCGAGACATGATCAACCTGTCATGTCTGCAGGGTCCCTTTCACCAACACAGTATCTGCCACCGGTTCCTGAGAGCACAGGTGCTACACGTACCATCATGCCTTGGTCAAGTCAGAATCACTACACTCAATCCTACCATGCCTCTACATCCAGCTCTGCTTTGTTGTGTAACCCTCCAGTCTCTGGATATCATCAACCTGCCGTGTCGGGTTGGCCAATTTCAGATGCACCATTTCAACCAAAGGTTTTAGAGCTGTCAGGATCTAGCCAACCTCGGCCTAGTCAGAATTCCTCTACTACAGGATTTCATCCAGCTTCCCATTATCCACCAATTGTATGGGAAAAAACAAGTAGACCAGGTTCTTCCTGTCAGGTTTCACACTCCACCAACTTTTCGTGCCCAATCCAAAGTACAAGCAGTACTGGTAGAGACCACCCTCAACAGCAACCCATGGCTGATGTACACTATCCAAGAAGGGCATTACCACCATCAGACAACCCTCAACAGCAACACATGGGTGATGTACACTATCCAAGGACATTACCACAATCATACCACCCTCAACAGCAACCCATGGCTGATGTACACTATCTAAGAAGGGCATTACCACCATCAGACCACCCTCAACAGCAACCCATGGGTAATGTACACTATCCAAGAAGGACATTACCACCATCAGACCATCCTCAACAGCAACCCTTGGGTGATGTACTCTATCAAAGGACATTACCATCATCAGACCATCCTCAACAGCAACCCATGGGTGATGTACACTATCCAAGAAGGACATTACCACCATCAGACCATCCTCAACAGCAACCCATGGGTGATGTACACTATCCAAGAATGACATTACTACAATCAGACCACCCTCAACAGCAACCATTGGGTGATGTAAACTATCCAAGAAGGACATTACCCTCATCAGACCACCCTCAACAGCATGTTGGCAATACATTAGATACTGTATTTCAATTCTCTCAGACACACAGAGAAGGTAGCAGTAGCTTGAGCAGGCCTTACAAGAGGCAAGCTACTTGTACTCAGTCAAGAGTTCCACAGGATGATCCTGAAATCCAAGAGAAACGATCAAAGTATGAAGTAAGACAGTGTCCCACTGGTAACACTTCATCTTGACTTTGTGTATGCATGATACAGTGCTCCACACCAACCGTTATTTGGAAAAGAGGTTCAGATTTAACTTTTTACAGTCTGTATGCATTAGCCCTATGTAAAGACATCCAAATTCTTGGGGTCCAGACCTAGATTTGGGGTGTCCATGTGTCTCGGCTAGCCTGTGAGTTCCCAGTTCTGGGACCAGTTTCACAAAGCCTTTTTTCAATGACAAATGACGAAAATAAGTGACAAATCTGCTGATAACCAATTAGAAGCAAGGATTTCAGTAGCTTATTACTAAACTGTCATTTGTCACTGATTACGGTACAAGTTTTGTGAAATGGGGCCCTGGTGTTAGAATAAACATTTCAAGAGAAAGGGATCATAATATTGTCACAATGTTTTTTGAACGTGTACTTAATAGCCCAAAACAGAGTTGCATCAAGAGCCAATTGGGTACCTGTTTATGCAGAAAGGGGTCATGTTGTGTGGGAAATGTTTTCTGAAAATACTCTAATTAGGGGGTCATTTTTTACTTGGCTAAGATCATGCATTATGCCTGTCAATAGAAGGTGACACGGCCATCAACTGTTGTTATAATGATAATAACGGTGGCTTATGATATAGTACACACGCCATCAAGCCATGATGCTCCTTGCGCTCAAACATTATTACCCTGGCCCTAGGCGGCCTCCAAATATGTCACACTTTGGCATATCAGGTGCCAATGTGTACCTGGGTGGAGAGTGGCAAATGTCTATGAACTTGATAGAACTCAATATGATAGTCAAGAACTAACTTTGTCTGGTAAGGTTATATGAATATAGGCCAGAGTTATCAGTGTAACATTTTGTCTGACATGGATTATTGTTTGTAAATAACTACATCCAGTTGTAGATTTTAAAATCCATCTGAGGAAATATTTTCCTGGATTTTCTTTACATCATTCCAGTGTAAATGTAAATATGCTGCTATAATTTTAAGATACATGTCTCTTTTGTCAATGTAACATGCCTGAGTTATCAGTGTGATATTTAATATTTAATGAATTATTGTTTGTACATGTTTAACTACATCCACCAGTACTACATGTATATTAACTCCGTTTGAGGAAATATTTTCCTGGATTTTTTGGGACATCATTCCAGTGTATATGTAAATATGCTGCTACAAGTTTAAGATACATGTCTCATTTGTCAATTTAACATGCCTGAGTTATCAGTGTGATATTTAATTTGAAATGGATGATTGTTTGTACATGTTTAACTACATCCACCAGTACTATATTAAATCCATTTGAGGAAATAGTTCCTGGATTTTCTTTACATCATTCCAGTGTACATGTAAATATGCTGCTATATATTGTTTACCATACATGTGTATTCTACACTGTCGCTCTTAAAGGTGGAATATTTTAGTTTTATCCCAATTTATGGAATTATTTTAAAAATTATTTAAAAATAATAGATCTAGATAATAGTATACATTTTCAGATTTTATTGAATAATAATTTGCCAATGTGTGTTTTGCGTGACTGCTAAAGCATGTGTATGCTACTATGCTTATTAATTAGGGGACCTACGCCCTCAAGTCATAAATGACAGTAATGAGGATTGATGCCACACAAAAGGGCACTAATATATAGCACATCGACACGGTTTTGATCCTGGGGCCTCACAGCTATGAGGCCATTGTTTTATCACTGAACCATGACTGTACGCAGCGGGGGCTAGGGTAGGGGGCTGTTTCCATAAAATTTAAAAAAACGCAGAAAATGCAATAAATTTTCAATAATTTATTGCATTTTACCCCGGTCCCCAACATAAAAAATCCTCTGGACGGCCATGCATTATGGCTCAAGGCATGGGCACACAGAAGATTTTTTTATGTTGGGAAGCGGGGTAAAGTGCAATAAATTATTGAAAATTTATTGCATTTTCTGTTTGTTTTTTTTATTTATGGAAACTGCCCCCTACCCTAGCCCCCGCTGCGTACAGTCATGGTTCGGTGACAAAGCAATGGCCTCGTAACTGTGAGGCCCCAGGATCAAAACCGTGTCGATGTGCTATATTAGTGCCCTTTTGTGGGGCATTAATCCTCATTACTGTCATTTATGACTTGAGGGCGTAGGTCCCCTAGTTAATAAGCATAGTAGCATACACATGCTTTAGCAGTCACGCAAAACACACATTGGCAAATTATTATTCAATAAAGTCTGAGAATGTAAACTATTATCTCGATCTATTATTTTTAAATAATTTTTTTAATAATTCCATAAATTGGGATAAAAAAAAATATTCCACCTTTATGAGCGACAGTGTAATTGTATTCAGTACTGGATTTCAATAATTTTGATGATACATATTCAAGATTATGATACATGTATATTTTGAACTTGTATATCTTTGCTATACTTGCATTGTAAATATATTTTATATTTTAGTAAGTTTGCATTCCTGAGTATTCTAATTGTATTCAGTACTGGATTTCAATAATTTTGATGATACATATTCAAGATTATGATACATGTATATTTTGAACTTGTATATCTTTGCTATACTTGCATTGTAAATATATTTTATATTTTAGTAAGTTTGCATTCCTGATTGGCTTATAAGATACAAACATAGACACTACTCTTATGAGCATTCCATTGCCTTACCTTTTGATCACCATCCTCTTCTGATTAAGTGATGGCATTTTTATATTCCACTCTGGTTTTCATAATAGGCAATGCAAATTACTCAGATCTGTGAGTTTATTCTGAATTATGTCATGCAAAAAGATGTACTAAACAGGTCTTTCAGTCTTTGTTTGTGTATTGGATGATCATGAGTTACTCAAATAAAGTTTTAGTGCCTTAGATATTTCAACATTTTGATGTACAAATGAGACAAAAGAATGTGCTAGTTGCATGTAGTTTGATAATGGTGTATTTGTATCCTATGGCTGAAATGGTGTCACTTGACATTCTGTTATATTTGCACAACAGTGCAATATAACACCCTTATTTTGCATGTTATAATGCGTGCAAAAGCAAATTAGACTGCACATCTCTTCTAGTTGCGTGCATATTGCATGCATTTCATTCATGGTTCAGTGTAACATTTATTCACCTCCAAATTTGGAATTCCGCTCGTGCCGTTATATTTCATCCTCAGCCTATGGCCTCCGTAAAATATAACATCACTCGGGAAATTATGAATTTTCTGATTCATATATGCAAGTGCCTACCTATGCTAATTCTTAAGTGAGGGAAGCTGATGTAAAGCAAATCCTTTTCATGTAAAATATGATTGTATGCATGAACATAAAAGCATATATTCATCTTATTGAAATGTTAATTACATTTGGTTAGGGGATATTTTTAATCTTTTTCATTCAATCTATATATACCCCTATAATATACTGTATTGATAATTTTTAGCTTGATAAGACTCAAATTCGAGTGGAAAGTTTGAATAAATTTAAAAATCAAATGAAATATGATTTATCTTACTTGTGATCATTTGGAAAATAGGATCAGAAAAGTATGGATAAAAGAATGAGAGATGAAAGAGAAAATGAGTTACAAAATAGGTGTGAACATAAAGGAAATATATTTTATTGAACTAACCCCTTATGAATTCCGGAAATTTTGTATATTTTACCACAGTGACTGCCATTATTTTTTTGTATTTCTCTCTCTCTCTCTCTCATACAGTAACTTTTTGTTTATGTTTGTTATTCTATTTCTTTTGGTTAATGTAGTATTTGTGTCTTGTTAACTTATGTTATTTCCATTCCAGTCATATCAGAAAATGATGGCGGGTGTGAGAGTTGAAAGAATAGTAGAGTAATCAATAACAAGAAAGAAGAAACAAAAGCAAGGGGTATCCCTGTTCATCAATAAAGAGAGAGGGATAGAGAGAGAGAGAGAGAAGAGAAAGAGAGAGATGGAAAGATAGGGATAGGGATACAGAGGGGAAAAGAGAAATGCAGACGGAGAGAGAACGTGAAATAAAAAGATAATGTAGTGAATTTGGTTTAGCCCATTCCACTCTTCAATAAAAGTATCTTTTTGTGAATTATTCTCAATTGCTGTAAAACACTCGTTTCCCTTACCTCCCCTGTCATCCGAACTTTCTTTTCTTTTCTTCACCATTCAATATCTCTCATCTTTCATTTAGTACACAATATACAAGTTAGACAGAACAATTGGATTATGAAAATAACAAATATGATTATTGTTATTCCATACAACCCATACATTCAATTCAGCTTTGTGTTGAAGACACACAGATATATTACAGCATGAATGAATACAAATCAGCAAAACTTATCTTTTAAGAATAAATATTAACAAAAATGAACTTCATTAACTGATTTCAATATCTCTCTATCTTAGCATGAGACAATGACACAAAATGTCATTGAAACTTTCCACATTACATACACCAATGCTGAAATGTTTGAACTGTGTCAAAAAAAATTCTTGGACATCTACTGCTTTCGAAAATAAATTGCTAATCAGTGCTTCTTAATTATTGCACACATTTATAAATAAACATTTGGCTACTGAGAAGCTAATTGGTTCAGCTGTTTCAAACATTTGAGCAGTTTCTTTAGTTAAACAATGGCATTATGCTTTCTTAAAGACAAATTTATCAAACAATGGCCCGTCTAGTGCCCCTGCTCGGAGTCCAGATAGTCGTTTTTAGTGAATACAAACACTCTATTAAACTTGAGATTTGCGCTGCCCTTAAGGTTTATTTCCTCCGAAATCTCTCTCTCTCTCTCTCTCCCTCCCTCCCTCCCTCCTCCCCCTCCCTCTCTCTCACACACACATACATTATGTGTAGTTCCGGGGGGGGGGGGGTGGGGGTGGGGTATCTCCCCAAATATTTGACCAAGGGGGAGATGGCCTATGTAATCACCCCCCCCCCCCTAGGGCTAGCCGGCGGCAAGAGAGGGGGGCCCAATTCGTGAAAATCAGCCAGCCGGTGAATAAGCGGGGGGGGGGGGGGGGGGGGGGGGGGGGGGGGTTAGTGAGCACTTTTGCCTGGATCCACCACTGCGCCCCCCTTATGTTATGCATATGTGTATGATAAGATGCTCACTGTAAAGGCTTTCGTATAGCATAAATCCCAGCTATACGAGTCTATACACCAACAAAACAATATATAAATCATACTCGTAGGCCTATTCCCGAATATTATAATTATTATCAACAAACAAAAATTGATAAAAGACGACCACATTCCAAAAGTTTGATCTTGGGTGACAGTCGGTCCAATTGAATTTCGATCGCTGACGCTGGTTGGGGCTATTATAGTATAAAGCAGTAGAATATACAAGCAGGCCTTATTTTCCAGGAATGTTAACTTTTTACAGTCTGTATGCATTAGCCCTATGTAAAGACATCCAAATTCTTGGGGTCCAGACCTAGATTCCCTACAAGACAGTGACCAAGATTCGTGAGCTGTGTCTGCAAGGGTAAGGGGTAATTAATCAAGACTGATTATGTGTTCTGGAAGAGTATGCATAACAATACACTTGGCAAAGGGATTGTCCATGTCGTTAGTCTTAATAAAAAAAAAAATCTAATTGATAGTCGACAAAAAGTCATATAGGCCTGGGCCTAATTATTTAGCCCATTATTCCAGATGTTAGTTTTGCCCATGTTTGAGATGACTTGGCAAACATAATACTTGTTTCGGACTGGTGGAGACCGATTTTCGGCTTTGGTTACCTTTGTAGAGATATAGGATAACATAATATTAGTTAAGAAGGTTTGAAGTGATAAGGTATTACTGCAACTGCAAGGACGAAGGAAAAAGTCAGAATATTGGCTTCAAATTTTGATATGGTTTAATTTGTTGCCTTTACATTTATGTTTACATTAATGACAATACGATATGATACATTGCGTTCATTATATTTTAGTAATGAAGTGAGTACCTTATCGGATCGTGTGAATTCATAAGAGCACATTTTTATTTTGTTTTGGTCCCGAAATTTGAAAATTTGGCCGATCGATATTTCGTTCCGGGGGGGGGGGGGGGGTAAGATGGTTTATTGTTCGTTCGGCGTCCAAAAAACCTTCCACCCGGGCCATGGTCGCTGCCAATCATCGGATACCGATTCGACTCGGGTCTAATTCATGAGGCTTTCGTGGACTTGGCGAGGAAGTATGGGCCCGTTTCTAGCGTTCGGAGAGGCCCGTTTCTCTTTGTTGTCTTGAACGACAGGGCGAGTATGAAACAAGCTCTGGTGAAGTCAGGAGAATTCTTTTCAGACCGATTCGTACCAGGGCATATCAGATGGGGAATTCCAGATGCTGAAAAGAATGGTAAAGTACCGCATCCCGCTTGTGGTTTCTCAAAAAGGCGTATATGGGATTTGTATAATATAATAAAGTATAACCTTCACGATGTAAAAGGAAACCAACCTTGCAAACGTATACATTTTTCTTGCTTACAAAATTCCATGTGTATGAAGGCAAACAGAGTTGAGGCTGTTTGTATCTGTATTATTTTAAACCAAATCTGCTACATCTTTCTTACAGCTGCCATTGTTTGGAGTAATGGCAAGCCATGGGATGACCAGCGAAAATTCTTCGCTCTTTCGGCTTTGGTAAGAAGAGCCTTGTCCCTCAGATCAACCTTGAGGCTCGTTATCTGGCTGACTCGGAAATCAAGGCTCTACATGGTGAACCCATGGATCCATCGGCTTTGTTGAACAAAGCAACTGCTAACATCATAGTTCAGCTAGTCTTCGGTCGCCGATATGAGTACGACGATCCCGAATTTATTGGAGCTCTGCAAGCAATGGTGGATATCTTTAGCCTCGTCTCAGATACTGATCCAGTTAATGTCTTTGAATCACTTGTTCATACTCCGTGGTACAAACCACACCGCGATTGCACGTTCAAGCTAAGGGACTTCATCATGTCTCATCTCTACAACCATCAAGAAACTTTCCAGAAAGATAATATCCGGGACTTCGTTGACGCGTATAGCACACGACATCTCGAAAGATTACTCCATGGACACGTTCTGGAGGATTGTGTTGGATTTCTTTGCCGCAGGTACTGAAACCACAGCGGTGGTGACTTCATGGGCGATACTCTACCTAGCTGTTTACCCGGATGTTCAGAAGAAGGTATAGAATGATTGATTGATTGATTAATTGAATTATCGATTGATTGATCTTATTCATCAAGTATAAGTACAAGCACTAACATCATGATATCACTAGATCATGGACTTTACAAGACATACGAGAAAGAAAGAGAGAAAGAGAAAGGAGAGAACAAAAGGGAAAGAATGACTGAGAGAGAATAGCTTGACAGGGTGACCTATGAATGCTAAGAACCTGCATAATTATTTACAATAAAGAATAACATTTTCCGACAAGTGAGCAGACATCTTGTTAAAATCCGCGTATCGGGGGTTAAATCTTAAAGTGTTTTTTTTTCCACCAATAGGTACAAAATGAGTTGGATGCAGTTGTTGGGCGTGGCCGACAACCAAACACCAGTGACCGCCCAAACCTTCCCTACTGCGACGCCACCCTGATGGAGGTTATGCGCATCCGTCCTGTCCTCCCGGTCGCTCTGCCTCACATGACGTCTGCAGATGTCTCCATTGGACCTTATACTATTCCCAAGGGGACCATCGTTATCCCTAACCTGTGGGCTGTTCATCATGATCCCAAGGAGTGGTGTAATCCACACCTATTCAACCCAGACAGATTTCTCAGTGCTGATGGTCAAACAGTCGTGAAGAACGAGGCTTGGATGCCATTCAGCATTGGTAAGATAGCTCGTGTTCTCCTTAGGGAATGAACTCGTTATTGTATATCGTCAATCCTCATAAACCGTTCATATTTCGCCCATTTCCTCCCATATGCTATCATAGTAGAGTTCTCCCATGAGAGACAATTAGAGCTTGAAAACAGTTTAAAGGGGGACCAGTATATACTGTATGATCTACACCTGATACTCACAATATTATGCAAGCGTTGTATGGGCAAACATAAAAGCAACTCTTTGAAAAAATGAAAAGTGAAGGGTATGAGGTATTGATCGTTTTCAAGTCTGTGCCAAAGGTTCTCACGTCGTGTTGATAGTTATTTCAATTACTTGTAAGCGAATCCACCATGCGAGGGGGCATTGGGCGGATTGCGTTATAGATTATTGCAGAAATGGTGTCTGAATTCTAGTAAATGACTAAATGACTAATGAGAAAAAGAATGGTTACAATAATTTTCCCATTCATCAATTTACTAGATATCGGCATTTTCCTCCTCTCCTGGTAGGCCGTCGTGATTGCCTGGGTGTGCAACTTGCCAAGATGGAATCATTTTTGCTCTTCACCAACCTCTTCCAGCAATTCGAATTCAAGCTTCCTCCCGACCAACCAACCCACAGCATGCGAGGTCACCCTGGGCTCTCTATGCCTCCAGAAAGCTACAAGATTTGTGCCATTGAACGCTGAGTTTGGCCGCCTTCACGAGTCTAAAACTGCCGTATTGCACAAAAGAGTACATTTTCTGAGAGTTGTCAAAAAGACAAATGGAATCATCCCTCTCATGTCATTGCAGTTAATTCGAAGAATTTTTTGTATAACAATGCAATATAATGATTAAGATTTATATCACCTCTATCAGTAACATGTTGGCTGATAGATTTAGGAATACTTGTTTCAAAGTATTTTGTAATTATAGGAAGAATTTTGCGGTATGGCGACATCAACTTTTTTCCTAGATGAAACTTATGTTCTTTCCTGCTATTATTACTCTTCTGCTTTTGTTTTCTTGTTTTAATGATGATCTGAAATTCGACTATTCACTTTAACTTGGTTGGATATTTCTTTTATAATTACTAGTGATTATCAAGAAAAGTTATTATCAAACTGTATTTGCTTCTCTTATTTTTATTGCATATTGATCAACAATTCACTTGTAACCCATTATAAAAATGTTTGATACTTCTGATACTTTTGCATGTACATTCTCCAAAATGGTGGATTTTATTCCAATAAATTTGATTTCATTTGATTTTATTTATTCGTCCAGCAATTGGTCTTTTTGTATATTTTAATTATAATGATGAGGAGAATACTACTACAACAACTACTACTACTACTACTACTACTACTACTACTTCTACTACTACTAATACTACTACTACTACTACTATACTACTACTACTACTACTACTACTACTACTACTACTACTACCACTACTACTACCACTGCTGCTACTACCAGTGGCGTAGACAGGTTCGTACACCTGGGGGGGATGACTCAGGGGCGGATCTAGCTTTTTGCTAAGGGGGGGTTGACCAATAATGACGATGCGGAGCATCGTCCACGAGCCGCGAAGCGGCGAACCGATTTTTTTGGGGTGTTTATTTGAACCCCGTAAGTGATGTTTTCCTGGCATCTATTAACACAATGGAGACCATAAAAAGCAGTGCATGATAACGTCTTTTTAAATCAAGTAACAGTTAAATACACAGTTATATCCAGAGTTATCATGTGTTTGGTTAAGTTACCAGATGAGTTGAATATCTTCTCACAATATTTGCACTTGAAAGGGTTTCTCTCCAGCGTGCGTTCTTTTTTCTTTTTTTTTTTTTTTTTTTTTTTTTTCTTTCTTTTTTTCCTTCTTTTTTTCCTTTTTTGTTTGTTTGTTTTTTGGGCCGCCCAAGGGGGGTTTAAACCCCCTAACCCCCCCCCCCCGTAGATCCGCGCCTGTTTAATCTTGTGGTTATCTTGTGGTTTCCAAACCACAAGATAACCACAAAATACTTTTTTTACCGTCTGAATTGGCTTTCACCGTGTGAATGCGGCTAATAACAATAAACACAATTACAATAATGATGAGGATTATTATTATCATCATCATAATTATTATTATTATTATAATTATAATTGTTATCATTATTATTATTACTATTATTATCATCATTATGACTTATTAAGTAAGCAAATATCATTCCCCAAAACCTGGGGGGGGGGGGGATGATTGTACATGCCATCCCCCCACCTTGTGAGCTGGGGGGGGATGCATCCCCCTCATCCCCCCCGTTGTCTACGCCCCTGGCTACTACTACTACTACTACTACTACTACTTTTACTACTACTGCTACTACTACTACTACTACTATACTACTACTACTACTACTATTACTACTACTCCTACTACTACTGCTACTGCTACTACTACTACTACTATTAATACTACTTTTATATACTACTACTTCTAATACTATACGATACTACTACTACTACTACTGCTACTACTACTACCAGGGGCGGATCCAGTCGGTGGCAGGAGAGGGGGCCCAATTCGTGAGAAAATATTTAGCGGCGAAATAGCGGGCCGATAATTCGCTCAGTGGGGAGGAGGGGGGGGGGGGAGGGTAGAGAGCACTAATTTATTTATTTTTGGCTCCCGAATTTTTTTTAATCCCCCCGGCCAATAATTTGCTCAGTGAATAAAATCAAATGAAAAAAAAATGTTGTATTGAAATGGAATCCACCATGGATCCGCCACTGACTACTACTACTACTACTACTACTACTACTACTACTACTACTACTACTATTATTGATAATACTACTACTTTTACTACCAATAATAATAATATTAATGATGATAACAATGATAATAATTACTAATAATGATGATGACACGTATTCCATAGTCGATATCATACCGTGAATCCATGTACGGAACAAGAAATAATACACATTTTTACAACTTAATATTTATACTGCCTGTACGTCTCCTATACCTAGTATGCTATTCTTGATCTTATATGGTACAGAGAAGATTTAAGTTTGATATGAGGATGAAAAAGGTGGGTCTTTAATTTGCTTAAATGAATAAATATCGTGCCTAATATACTGTAGTGTGCATCTATAATTATGGTACCCAATGTGATACGAGCGGTTAAACCTAAAAATCGTAGCCCTCTCCAATCGTTCACTAAATTATTTAAAAAAAAGGGCAAGAGATAGTTCCCTGGTCAAATTTTGCCCTTTAGCCAAGGCACGACGATCTAATTCCCTTCGAGGTTTTGGGCATGGTTAACTGTGCTTCCCTAAAAAAGGACAAAACATAGTACTAATAAGAACACTAAGTAAAAAAAAAATCTTGGAGTTGCCTAAGTTATTATTTAATTGATATTTGCATCGGGGCTGTTATACTGTAACTATACCCAGGGTATTTCTTATTCGATACCAGTGATTTACAAATGTTGCTGAAATGACACGATTTTCCGGTATTTTTTCCCTTTTTTTTGTAAGTCCTGCCTTTTTATGCGTTTGTTGGAAAATTAGAAATTCCCAAATTTACAGTGGAGCGCAAAATATGCATATTTAGAAGCTTTCATGTCAGGGCCTGCAAAACGGCTGGGCTCAGGGGCTCGAGCCCCCCTCACTTTTTGAAAAAATATGTTACAGACAAAAAGAAAGATAGAGAGAGAGAGAAACAAAAAGTGAACTGCCAATGTCACAAATGAGGTATCTAAATATGCCCATCTGGCCGTAAATTACATACCTAAAACCCCGAGCTTCCTGGGGGCTCTGCCTCCTGGACCCCACCAAGGGCCCTAAGGCGGGCCCCTGGATGCTTATCTGACCGTAATTAAATACCTAAAACCCCTGAGCTTCCGGGAGCTCTGCCCCCTGGACCCCACCAACGGCCCTAAGGCAGGCCCCTGGATGCTTATCTGACCATAGTTAAATATCTAAAAGCTCTGAGCTACAGGGGGCTCTACCCCCGGACCATAGTGGCCTTAAAGAGGGACCCTGGATGCTCATCTAACCGTAATTAAATACATAAAACATCTGATCTTTTGGGGCTCTGCCCCCTGGACTCCCCGCAATTAGTGACCTGCCAGTGTCACATATTAGGTATCTAAATATGCTTATCTGACCGTAATTTAATACCTAAAAGGCCTGAGCTTCCGGGGGTTCAGCCCCTTGATCCCTTGCCTGGGCTCATGCCCATGACCCCGCGCCAATTCACGCTCTACCTGATCTTTAATACTCCACTTTGAAAAACGTTCCGCAGGGCCTGCATGTAAAGTGTAAGAGTGATGCAGATTTTTCTTCTGCCCCCCTCCTTCCAAACGTTTTTGCTCATTACGCCACTGTCCCTGGAAGGTGAGCTCCCTGGAATGTTCCCCCTCCCCCCTCCCCCCCCCCCATCCCAAACTGCTTCCGGCGCGCCTGGGGCTGGGGTAAGGGGGATAAGGAGCAGTATTTTTATGTCACCAATTCGTGACAATTATTTAGAGGCGAATATCTGACAGCTGGTGAATAAGCGGGGAGATGGGGGGGGGGGGGGGGGGGGGGGGTAAGGAGCACTACTTTTTATTTCGTTTTGCCCAATTCGTGAGAAAATAGTTGGCGGGGAATATCAACCAGCTGGTGAATAAGCGGGGGGGGGGGGGGGGGTAAGCACTATTTTTTCCCCTGGACAATCGCCCCCTTGAAAATTACCCTCAAGGAGTACAACACCCCGGAAAATCAGCCCCCGGAAGACAACTCCCAAGGACCATACTCCGCGGAAAAATTACTCCCCAAGTACAACCACCCCCTCCCCCACCCCGAGGACAATTACCCCCGTGGACAATCACCCCCCATAAAAATTGTGCTTTTATTAAAACCAAATTAATATCAGGGTAGGGGGGGGGTTGTCCTAGGTATTTTCAGGGGTGTGCGGGTAATTATCCTCGGGGAGGGGGGAGGGGTAATATTCCGCGCGGCCTTTTGCAAATTAATGATATCGTATATAAGACTCTCATATTTAAAAGAAGATTTTTTTCAAGAATATATATCAGTCAATGTGATTCCCCTTGTAGCTTTCTTACAGTAAATGCACAGTACGTATAGTTGCTCCAATATGGAAAAAGGTTCCAGATTATATTGATAATAATTTATGACGAAGGAGACAACGCTGTACTTTGAGTACGCTCATAATAATATTTGGTAGTGGTGGCAGTCTTTGTATCTGCGCCTCAAATTTTATATTATTTGATCTAAATTTCAAGAGGTAAATTGAATTTCCAGGTCTTTCTTTCTTTTGTAAATATGAAACAGAAAATTGAATTTAAAAAAGCAGAGAACTTGAGAAAGGTAAACTGAGCTCCCACTTTAGGAAATGGACACTTTTTTTCTTGTATAATTTTGGTCCCTTGGTATTTAATAAACTGTATACTTTCTTATTGTCAATTATGTTATTCTATTGTTAATATTACTGTATTTCAGTGGAGGATCTCCTTGACGAGACCAGTCTCGGTTTTCTTACATGATATTAAACGTTGATGCATGTTAAGGTGAGCTTACTGTACAAAATGTAACTGACTAGAATGAGGCATTTGTGTTGTGCTGTTTTGTGTTGTGTTGTCCTGTGTTGTACCCGACTACCGTGTTCTGTATACATCCATTTACTTTATTGATTATTGTAAATATGCGATGTCGTTGATTTTTATTTTAAATAGACCAGTTCACGGTTAGCACATTACTGCAATGACCCCGAATATCCACAGATCTTAAAAACATGAAGAGGTCCCACTTTTTACATTTTGAAATAATCACTCCTACAGCGATGGAGGTGCTATAAATAGCCTTTGTTTCCCCTTTTCAAAGAATACTTCCACCTGTGTATCATGGATGGCACTGAATGTGCATGAATGAATAATGTTACATAACTTTCATGAACACGTATCCAGTATTTCGTCTCCGTGTATTTCAAAATTTGTTCTGCAATGACCTTTATCTGCTCATGCTCAGACTGCAACCGTGAACTGGCTTATTATTAAAAAAAAAAAAAAAAAAAAAATTCTTACAAAAGGTCTGTAGTAGCTGTCTGTGACCGCCTTCATTTTCACTTAATACAGTGCTTTACTTTACTCTACGTTCTCCACATCTCGCTGGCCTGCAGCAGTTGTCTAAGTCTTGATTTCAATTTGCCTCCGCTTGATCGTGTCCTTGTAGCGAAGCCGTGGTCGACCAATCCCTCAAAAGGTCTACTGTCAACACCAACACTGTACCCCGCGCGAA